TGCATTGGCGCTCATGGCGGTTCACCCGTCTTGAAGAAAGAAAGAAAAAAACACAAAAAAAACAGACCCTGCGGCGGACCTTCATTACCGCATTTCAATTTTTCACAACCAACACCCTTCCTTACCCAACCCCTGACACCCATAGATCCCTTTCCCCCTAACCCCCGCAACCATAGACCCCTTTCCCCCTAACCCCCGTTGCATTGCCGCTCATGGCGGCTCACCCATCTTGAAGAAAATTAAAAAAGAAAAAAAAAAAAACAGACCCTACGGCATGAGCTAGAGTCCATGACCGTTTACGTGAGTTGCACTTACCTCAATGCAAAGGGTGAAGTGGCTCACAAATCCAGAACGGACCGCTGCAAAGCTCCGGCAGGAGTCCGGCTTGCAAAAGCAATGGGATGCCTTGATGCCTCCATTGCCTTCAGCCCAACACTCTTTTCTAAGTTTATGGGCAGCCAGTCCATGCACAACAACTGGCAGAATATTATGGGACACACAACACATGTTGTGCGCCGTGCTGTGCTGTGTGTCGTCAAAGGACAAAACAACAACATGCAACAGTTTGTCCTTTGCATCTTTTTTTTTTTTTTTTTTTTTTTTCCTCACGGTTCATAATTTCTTTTACTTTTTTTTTTTTTTCCCTTCGGGAGATGCACATGTGCGCCGTGCAGCCCGTGCCGTACTGTTTGTTTGCCTGCATTCTGTACATGGGGCGGTGCACCAGGGCCAGCATGACAATGTGTGTGCGAAGATTACATGGGTCTGCAATGACTCTGCATGTTTGTTTGAGTGCTTGTTGGCTTGAGTGTGAGTGTCATCCGCAAGTGCACGTGTTCATTCGCTGGGCCCTCAGGGACAGCACTTCCCTGTGGCCATGAACCAGTCTGAGTCCAGGGCCTGTACGACCAAGTTCAGACTGTGATACAGCCTATCGGCCTGCACGGTGAGGCCCGCTGTGCCGGGGTTGGGTTGCGGGGTCGGGGTCCCCCGGGGCGGTGCGGGGCAGCGGGTGCAGGGTCTAAATGCGTGGTGGAGGTGGCGGGGCCGGGGTTACCATCTGCGGGTTGGGGGTCGGGGTTGCGGGGGCGGGCACCGGTGGTCGGGGGTCTGCGGACGGGGGCCGGGCCGCGGGGCCGCGGGGTTCCGGTGCAGACTGTGGGGGTCGGACCGTAGGGTCGCTGGCGATGCCGGCGGTGGGGGGCGTGGCGCGGGGCTGTGGGGTTGCTGGCGGGGGCCGTGCTGTGGGTGSGGGGTTGCAATGGCGGGGTGGGAGTGGCGGGGTTGCGGTGCCGGGATGGATTTCCGGGCGGGGTCGCGGTGGCAGGGTTGCGGTGCGGGGGCGGTTGTGCGGGGCCGGTAGCGGGGCTGCGAGGTTGCGACTGTCTCTTATACACATCTAGATGTGTATAAGAGACAGCCATAGGGTCGCTGGCGATGCCGGCGGTGGGGGTCGTGGCGCGGGGCTGTGGGGTTGCTGGCGGGGTCCGGGGGGGGGGGGGGGGGGGGGGGGGGGGGGGGGGGGGGGGGGGGGGGGGGGGGGGGGGGGGGGGGGGGGGGGGGGGGGGGGGGGGGGGGGGGGGGGGGGGGGCTGTGGGTGGGGGGTTGCAAGGGGGGGGTGGGAGTGGCGGGGTTGCGGTGCCGGGATGGATTTCCGGGCGGGGTCGCGGTGGCAGGGTTGCGGTGCGGGGGCGGTTGTGCGGGGCCGGTAGCGGGGCTGCGAGGTTGCAGGGTGGGGTACCTGGGGATCCTCGCTCGACAATGCTGGAGGGGATAGTGTTACGGACTCCGCCAGGGCTCGATCCCTATATCTTTTTGTTGTTTCTGCTGCATCCCGTTTTCAGCCTGGCACCCTTTTTTCCAAACCCCTCCTTTGGTACCGTCGGATTTTGGACAATTGGCGCCATGCTGCAATTCGGGCGCCACTTTCAAATACCGCATTTTTCAGTTCTGCCCTCGAGGCTTTTGTGGAAATGCCCCTGGTACCGTACGTGTCACCATTACTTATACCGGCTCCCCGTACAGTACGGGGACCAGTCTCGTACCAGTTTTCAGCTGCTGTACTCGTACTCAGTGTGACTCATTGGGAATCCAAGACTTCGACTTTGTGCCCTTGCCACTGTGTCTGCATCCGGCCCTCAGTCGTGTCGAGTGAGTGAGTGTGTGTGTGTGCTCACACTCTCTCCCTCTCTCTCTCCTCTCCCTCGACTCTCCCTCAGCCTCGTGCTCGTCACACAATCAATGTCGAAACGCAAACTGGACATACATCATCATCATCATCATGACTCGGTGTGAATGGCCTAGCACCACATACAAGGACGAAGGCGCCAGGCACATCTCATACACAGATGAGGAGGACGAAACGGTTTTCACCTTTCAGCAGTCACAGATGCGGCCCTAGAGTTCGATCCCCAGACCTTACCTTGCCCATGTACAGTATTGAGTTGAACCCCGAGTATTTGATCCAGTGACCTGTGTTTTGGGTAGTTGGTTGTTGTCTGCCGTAGGTCTGTGTAGTTGTAGGGGTTCGATCTGTAGGTTTGTCGAGTAGGGGTCACAACTCTGTAGAGGTCGTAGCTGTAGGTGTTCTGAGAGGTCAAGGTTGTAGCTGCTACAATCCTGAAAGGTCAAGGCCGTAGCTGCTACAGTACTCAAAAGGCCAAGTCCACCGACTTTTGGAAGGTCCGGAAGTGGCCTTTCGAAAGTGTCTCACGTTTAGCCAGAGGCAAGTGGGCAAGTGGTAAGCCCCACTGCACTGAGTCGACAGTCTGACTGCGTCAAGTCGGCAGCACAACCCCGAGCAGTCAGCGGTACCAGTCCCAGTCAGTCGCAGTCCAGTCCAGCAAGTACCGTGTGGGACTGTGTGCACCAAGGGCCTGGTGGAAAGGGGCAGACCAGCGGCAAACACTAAGTATAAATCAAGAGCAACGCCCAACAATTCATCGATTCGCTGCGTAAGCCATGCGGAAGTGCTGCTACAGTGTCTTGTGCGAAGGTGGTCTGCAGGTTGCCCGAAGACGAAGTGGGCTGAGGAAGATAGAGCGTACATAGAGCCGCTCAAGTTAGTATTAGTCGCTAGTGTGTGTGTGTTTGAGCGAGAGACAGTGTGTGTGGTGGTATTCAGGGCGATCCAGAGATGAGCATGAGCGAACGGTGGTGTTGGACACCGTGACGAGAGTTGATGTGCAGGCGCTGATGCGCCATAGCCTATTGAAGTGATTTTTGTGTCTTAACCGTGTTCTCGTTATCCATATCTCTGAGCTTTGAGTGGGCGCGCTGTGCAGGTGTGAATTGCCATCTGTTTGCATGTTTGCGAAGTGGAAAAAGAAAGTGAGTCTGATTGCATTGGTATCAGAGCTGGTTCCCGTTACCCCACGTGCCATCGTCGTTGCCGACAGGAGAAGCGACGAGCGCCAGTCAGGTGCCATAGCCGAGGTGCACCGAGGGAGATGTGAAGTCCGCCATAGCTACACTGCGGAGAGAAGGTGCCACGTACCTGCATAGAAGACAACGGCGAAGAGAGAGAGAGAGAGAGAGAGAGAGAGAGAGAGAGAGAGAG